GTGGCACCGAGGCGGGGTGAGATGGGGACAGGGCGATAACAGGGTGACACGGGGGCTGGAGGGCACTGGGATGGGGCAGCACAAGAACAGGGTGACACTGGGACATGGTGGCACTGGGGATGGCGTGGCACCGGCATGGGCTGACATAGGGACACGGGGATTGGCAGTGCACTCCTTGGAGGACACTGGGATGGGCAGTGCAAGGACAAGGGGCACTGGGATGGAGTGACATCAAGGTGACATGAGCACTGAAGGGCGCTGAGATGGTGCAGCTCAAGGACTGGGTGGCACTGGGATCGGATGGTACCAGGATGACACGGGCACTGGGATGGGGCAGCCCAAGGATGAGGTGGCACTGGGATGGGGTGACATCAGGGTGACACAGGGACAGGGTGACATGGGGACTGGAGAGCACTGGGAAAGGACAGCACAAGAGACACTGAGACATGGTGGCACTGGGGATATCATGGCACTGGCATGGGGTGACATAGGGGCACAGGGATTGGCAGTGCACCCCCTGGAGGACACTGGGATGGGCAGTGCAAGGACAAGGGGCACTGGGATGGGGTGACATGGGATGGAGTGGTACCAGGGTGACATGGGGACTGGAGGGTGCTGGGATGGTGCAGCACAGGAATGTGGTGGGCCAGGGTGACCTTGGGGTAGAGTGACACTGGGATGAGGTGGCACAGAGACAGGGTGACATGGGGACTGGAGGGCACTGGGATGGGGCATGTGGGATGGGATGGGATGGCACTGGGACAAGGTGACACAGGATGGCACAGGAACCATGGGGACAGGACACCAGAGGGATGGGTTGTCACAGGGACAGGGTCACCCAGGAGCCGAGTGGCACAGGGCCTGTATGGCACAGGGACAAGGTGGCAGGGGGCTGTGGGATTCAGGTGGCACTTGGGTGTCTTGAGCGCAGGGTGGTACAGAAGTGGGGTGGCACAGGGACACATGGCATGGGGACAGGTTGGTGTGATGACAAGGGATATAGGGGCAGGATTGCATGGGGCTGGGACATCCAAGGGATGGGATGGTGTGGGGACAGGGTGTCACAGGGATGGGACATCCCAGGCATGGGATGGCACAGGAACGCAGTGTCCTGGGATGGGGTGGCATGGGGACAGGGTGGCACGGGGACGGTTCATGCCAGGGGTGGGATGGCATGGGAAGGCAGTGTCCCAGGATGGGGTGCCACAGGGACGGGGTGTCCTGGGGCCAGCACCGCATCGAGGTGGGCCATGGCAGTGGCCATGGGGCGCGGTGCCAGCCTGTCGTGGCCTTGGGGACTGTCCCTGGCCACGGGCACTGTCCCTGGCAGGGCCGAGAAGCCGGAGCCGCCGGATTTCTCCCGCTCCTCCTCCAGTGCCAGCAGCTTCGGCAGCGCCGCTGAGGAGCCCGAGCCGGGCCGGGTATGGGGCACCCAGGGGGCAGGGGGGGTGCTGGGGGGGCCGAGGGGGGGACAGCACCCCCGTGACCCCCTTGCCCCCTTAGGAGAGCCGCTCACCCTCGGGGACCCACCGCAACGCCTTCCCCGACACCCCCTGGCCGGATGACCCCCCCGGGACCCCCACAGGTACCCCCCGGGAGCCCCTGAACCCCCGGAGCCCCCCCAGTAGCCCCTCACCGGGGTGTCAGGGCCCCACGGGCTGGGGGGTCCCCCCGGGGTGCTCATGACCCCCCCCTTTCCCCCAGGCCGGCGCCCCCCCGACTCCCCCTGCCCCGAGATCAAAATCCAGCTGGAGCAGCCCCCCCATAATCCGGTGAGGCTGTGCCCCCCCCACCAGTGCACCCCAGTACGGGGGTGCCCACACTGGGGTGCCCCCACTGATGTCCCTCCCACAGGGCTCATAGTCACCCCCCCACCCGCGAGGGGGTCACCGCTTCGCCCCCCCATTCCCCCCGTGTGCCACCCCCATGCCAGGAGCTGAAGCCATCGTCCCCGGTGCAGGATTTGGGGGGACCCCCAAAAAATGGGAGTGTCCCCCCCCTCCAGACAATCTCTGTCACCCCAAATACCCCTCGGGGGAGGGGGGGTGATGCACCACAAAGGACCCCCCCTCTGCCGTGACCCCAAAATGAGGAGCGGGTCCAACCCCAGCATCACCCCCTTCCTACAAAAGAAATGGGGGGCTCAAATCCAGGGTAACCCCAAAGTGGGGCTCCCCCTCCCCACCTTTATTTTAAGGGAGAAAAGCTCCGGAATGGGTCGGAGGCTGAAATTGGGGGGAGGGGAGGATTATTTTTTTCACACCTCCCCAACTCGTGTTTGTGTTTCCCGTGAGTCCTGTATAAAATAAAGGTTTATTTATCGCTACAGCGGGTGGGCCCCAATATCTGGGTTGGGGCGGGTGTCCCCAAAACCCCAAACATCAGCGGGGGCTATAAAAACATCCCCAAATTCACCCATTCTGGGGGTCATTTAAGCCAAATTTTGAGATTTCCCAGCAGCCAGGCCAAGCAAAGCCTTTCTTTGATGCTCCCTATTTTTGGGAGGGGGCTGCGGGTACCCCAAAATACGGCAGGCAATGGCTTCACTGCCCCCCCAAAACCAGCCTCTGCTTGGCTCCCGTGGTCAGCCCGGCGTCGGGAGCGGCGTTTGGCCGCGGCCCCGGTGGCCGCCGGCGTCCTGCCAACCCCCCGGCCAAGAGAACGTGGTTCCCCCCCCCGAACCCCCAAAAACCACGCGGCACCCCGGGAGTGGTTAAACATAGCCCGGGGCTGCCGGAGTTCTGGGAAGCGCCGGCGGTGGGGCTGTGGTTGGGATCCGGCGACGCCGGCAATGCCGGGGGGGGGAGCAAAGGGTGCCGGGCAAAGGGGGGTGTCAGAGCCCCCCCAAACCCAGCCCCGAGGAGGTCACTGACTAACCCCCCCCCCGATGAAGGGCCCTGGTTAACGAGGAACCACGTTTTTAATTATGAAATTGGTGAATGAATAAAAAAATAGGGGTGGGGTTTATTTAGGGGAGGGCTGGAGGGTCGGAGAGGGGTTCGGAGGTGCTCAGGGGGTTGTTGGCAGTGCCCAGCTCACCTGGGGCGTGCAAGGGCTGCTTGTGGGGGGAATTGGCACGGGAACGTGGTGTTGGTTCAGCCAGGGCAGGGCTTGCACGAGCACAGGGACCTCCCGTGCGTCCCGTGGGGGGGTCACACGGGCACGGGGAAATCTGCACGTGCAAGGAGAGCACAGTGACATTTCCACGTGCCGGGCACTGCACACACGTGGTGGCTTTCGCAGGTGCCCAGTGGCATTTCACACGTGCAGTGACACCTCTGTGGGCACCGGGGCGTGTCACACAGGCACCGGGACTCTCGCACGGGCACGGGGACTCTGCACGCGCAAAACACTTCATGCATGGGCACAGCGACCTTTGCATGTGCACAGGGGGGTCTCAGACCTGCACGGTGACATTTGTGTGTGCAAGGAGCCATTTGCTCCTTGCAAGGAGCAAGGTCCTTCCTTGTGCAAGGTCCTTCAGGTCAGCGCACGGTGACCTTCGCACGTTGCACTGTGGCATTTTGCACGTGCACAGGGACATCCGCACGTGCAAGGAACCCTTGGCACAAGCACAGTGCCACTGGCATGTGCGTGGTGAGTTCTGCGTCTTCCCCGTGGCGCTTCTGCACGTGCACAGTGACTTTTGCACAATCCCAGAAGCACTTGCACAAGCCCAGCGACATTCCCACGTGCCAGGCACTGCACACACGTGCAGAGTGGCTCTTGCACGTGTACCACCGTGGCATTTTGCACGGCACCTGCGCGTGCAAGGAATCATTTCTAGTGCACAGGAGCCCTTTGCACAAGCACAGTGACATTTCCACGTGCAGGGCACTGCAAGCCAGCGCACGGTGGCCTTCACACGTCGCACTGTGGCATTTTGCATGTGCGAGGAACCCTTTGCACAAGCACAGTGCCACGGGTACGTGCATGGAGAGTTCTGCGTCTTCCCCGTGGCACTTTTTGCACGTGCAGAGTAACTTTTGCACAGTGGCATTTGCACATTGAAGGAATCCATTGTAGGTGCACAGCAGTGTTTGCCTCTGCACAAGAACCCTTTGCACAAGCACGGTGACACTTCCATATGCCAGGCACTGCAAGCCAGCACACGGTGACTTTCATAGGTGCCCAGTGGCATTTTTTTATGTGCACAGGGACATCTGCCCTTGCACAGGGACATTTGCACGTCCAAGGAGCCCTTTGCACAAGCACAGTGGCATCTGCACACGCACAGTGCTGCACGTACGTGCACGGTGACTTCTGCATGTGCACAGTGACATCTGCACGAGCACAGTGACGTTTGCACGGTGACATCTGCACGAGCACAGTGACATCTGCACGAGCACAGTGACATTTGCACGAGCACAGTGACGTTTGCACGGTGACATCTGCACGAGCACAGTGACATTTGCACGTGCAAGGCACCACTTGCACCTGGACAGTGGCTTTTGCACGTGCAAGGCACCCTTCACACAAGCACAGTAACAGCGTCACACATACACAGTGACTTCTGCACGTGTGTGGTGGCACTTGCACAAGCACAGTGACATCTGCACGTGCCAGGCACTGTGCCCAGTGGCACTTCACAAGTGCCCAGTGGCATTTGCACACGCCAGGCACCTCATGCTCAGCTCTGGCAGTGCTGGCACGTGCACAGTGACATCTGCACAGTGACATCTGCACGAGCACTGTGACATTTCAGTGACGTTCGCACACTCCCAGCAGCATTTGCACACCCAGTGCCCCTCTCCCAGCTCAACCCTCGCCCCCCAGCACCCTGTGAGCTGCACAAGACCCTTCCCCTCGTTACCCCATCTCCTAATTGCCCCCTAATTACCTCGACCTAATGAAGGGGGCGTGTCCCAGCGTGTCCCACCCACTTTGCTGCCCTTGCCTTCCCCCCTCCCAACCTCCCCAAGATCCCTCCCGGGGCAGCAGATTGCCTCAACCCAAAGGATTTTTAAAGCAAAATAAATCACTGAGGACACAACAAAAACTAAGTTTAGGGACAAATTAACCTGTTGAGTTAATTTTTTTTCCCCATCTTGGCATGGTTTCTGGCTCCCCACACATGTGACGAGCTGGGCAGCGGGGTCAGTCCTCAGCCAAGGGACATTTGGGAGGCATTTTGGGACCCAGCCCCATCGCGTTCCGCTCAAAGAGGGGGTTTTATCCACCGAGGCTCCAGCTGCCATCCCAAATCCCACAGTGGGTTTGGGACAGGGCAGGGAACGCTGCTAATTATAGGGAAGGAACCGTGTATTTACAGAGGCAGCTCCCAGCACCAAACCGCCGGCGGCTGCTTTTGCTCCGCTGAGTCTCTCTGTTCTCCTTCTCTCCTCTTTCCCGGGCGCTGCTCTCCACAAAAAAAACATAAAAAGGGGGGATGAATTAAAAATAAATCCCCCCCCAGGCGATCTGCAAGAGGCACTTTAGCAGAGGAGGACGAGGAGGGCGAGGAAGGGCAGGAGCAGGGGGGCGGCGGGGCGGGCGCCGGCGTTGCAGTGGCCGCGGTTGGAGCCGATGCAGGCGGCGTAAGCCATGGCGTGGGGGATGTAGTTCTGCTCGTGGACCCCGTGGAGCAGGTGGGCCATGGGGCCCTGGGCGAACACGGCCACGTCCTCGCCGCCGTGGGTCTCCTGCCGCAGCGGCACGGCCGACTGCGCCTGGTAGTCAGCGTGTGCTGGAGGAAAAGTTAGAATAATTAAACCAAAAATTAGAACGATTTAAAACAAAAAAAAAGAACAATATAGGCAAGCTGGGACAATTTTAAGGGGTTTTGGCCCAAAGCAGACTCACCAAAATCCACGGCGGAGACGTTTTCTCGCTCGCCCGCCACGATTTTGTAGCCGGGGCCGTTGCCGTAGAGGATGGAGGTGAAGGGCTTGCGGTCCACGTCGCTCTGCATGGGGGCCAGACCTGGCAGTGGGGGCACAGTCAGCGGGGTGGGACGTCCCCACGGTGTCCCCGAGGTGTCCCCGAGGTGTCCCCGAGGTGTCCCCCAGGTGTCCCCCGGGTGCCCCGGCCCCGCGCTCACCGAAGATGGGGTTCCCGCGGGGGGTGTAGCCGCCGAAGGTGAAGACGTGCGAGTGGTCGGCGGTGACGACGCTCAGGGTGTCCTGTGCCGACGTGAGGCGCGTGGCCAGGCCGATGGCCCGGTCCAGCTCCACGGCCTCGTGCAGCGCCTGCTTCGCCTTCCCCTCGTGGTGCCCGTGGTCGATGCGGCCGCCTGAGGGACCCGGCGCCGCTCGGCATCACCCCCGGAGTGTCCAGCCCCCGGCACGCTCCTCCTCCCAGCTTTGCACCCCCCTTACACCCGCTCTTGCATCCCCCCAATGCGTGTTTATCGCCCTTTGCACCCCAATCACCCCCTTTATCCCCCCTTTTTACATTCCCCATCCTCCCCTTTTGCACCCCCATTCCCATTTCCCCTCCTTTTTTCATCCCCATTATCCCCTCGCTTTGCATCCCACGTCACCCCCATATCCCCCTTTCTACATTTCCCCATATCCCCTTTATCCCACCATCATGCATCCCCCATCACCCCTTTATCCTCCATCCCTGTTCTCCCTCTTTGTTGCACCTCCATCTCCCCATTATCTCCATTTTTGGTACCCCATCACCTCCTTTGCCATCCTGTTGCCTTTTCTATTCCTCGCTTTTTACACCTCCTCTTTACTCAATCCTCCTCTTTTTGCACCTCCCCTTTTGCACCCCATCACCCCCTTTATTCCCCCTCTTTGTACCTCTACCACCCCATTTACCCATTCCTCTCTTTTTGCATATCCCCTTTTGCACCCCCCATTATCCCCTTTAATCCCCCTTTTTGCACCCCCATCACCCCCTTATCCTCCTTTTGCACCCCCTTTTGTCCAGTCCTTCCCTACTTGCACCCCTCTTTTTGCACCCCCCATAACCCCCTTTTACCCCCCGTTTTCTCACCCTCCACCATTCCCTTTTATCCCCCATTTTTGCACCTTCAACCAGGAGGAAGAAGCCGCGGGGGTTTTTCTGGAGCATCCTGATGGCCACGGCCACCATCTCGCTGAGGGAAGGATCCGTCTCGTTGTTCCTGTCCAGCTCGTACACCATGTCCCCGGGCTCGAAGAGACCTGGAGACAGGGACACTGCTGGGGACATCCTTCCCCCACCAAAACAAAAAGGGAGGCCAAATCCTGCTCCTCGTGCTGACTCAAGCATTTCACAGGCCACCGTGGGAGATTAGATAGGAACTGTGGGACAGTCCTGGCCCTTCCTTCCTCCGGCCCGGATGGATCCCACATCCCGGCCGGGCTGGGAGTTGCACCACTGGCAAAAACCCTGCATTCCTAGGAGGCAGATGCATCCCAGGGTGGGGGTAGCAGCCTCCTTGGGGGTGTTACAGCATCTCTTTGGGGCACCAGCATCTTTGGGAGGAATACCGGAATCCCTAGGAAGGGGAGTAGCAGCATCCTCGGGGGTATAACACCATCCCTTTGGGGTACCAGCATCCCCAGGGTGGGGAGCAGGATCCTGGGGGAGTACCAGCATCCCTAGGGTGGGGTCCAGCATCTTTGGGGAGGGGTACCAGGATTCCTGGGAGGTAGAAGTATCCCTAGGAGGGGGAGTAGCAGCATCCTTGGGGGCTTAACACCATCCCTTTGGGGCACCAGCATTCCTAGAGTGGGTATCAGTATCCTTGGGAGGGGGTACAGCATCTTTAGGGGGTACCAACCAGCATTCCCAGGATGCAGAAGCATCCCTGGGGAGGGGGGAAGTAGCAGCATCCTTGAGGGCATAACAGCATCCCTTTGGGGCACCAGCATCCCCAGGAGGGGGAGTACCAGCATCCCCAGGGAAGTAGCAGCATCTTTAGGGGGATACCAGCATCCCTTGGAGGTACCAGCATCGCTGGGTGTGAGGTCCCAGTATCCCCAGGGTGGGATACCAGCATCCCTTGGAGCCAGTACCACCCTTGGGGGGATAACTGGCCACTCCAGCTGCCCCAGCACAGCCCAGGGGTCCCCCCCAAAGCACCCAGTTGAGGTTGAAGCATCCCTGGGTGCCGGGACTCACCCAGGAGGAAGTCGACACGGCTGAGGTTGAGCGCCAGCAGCTCCCGCCGGTTCCACACGTACTTGGCAACCTGGGGACAGGGGACAGGCACTGTCACCTCCCCATCACCTCAGCCACCCCCAGGGCTGCTCCCCAGAGCATTCCAGCCCCCAGGAATGGCTCTGTAGGGTCACAGTGTCACCTTGCCGGGGGGTTTGGCCTCCTGCCACGCCTGGACGAGGTTCCTGCGGTCCAGGCGGGTGCCCCGGTGCTTCTCCTCGCGGGGATACTCCACGTCACTGGCGTTTTTGGGGAACATGTATTTCCTCCCTCCGCCCATGATCACCTGCAAAAGCGGGGAGAAAATGTATTTTAAAAATAATTTTTAATTATTTTCAATTTTTGAGGGGTTTAATGGGGGGGAAGACCCTGAGGAGGAGGAGCGGGATGTCCAGGAAAACCCCGGCGTTGTGGACGAAAACACCCGAGGAATTTCACCTCGCTCAAAATAACCCTGAATCTCTTCCTATTAATTAAAACCCAGGACAAAAATAACCATTTCCAGCAGGGAGTTTGGCTTTTTGGCTATTTTTTTTTCCCCCTTCTGCGGGAAGGATGCTCCACATCGGGATCCCCACATGAACCCGCCGGGATGGAGCCCCATCCCGTGGCTCTCCCTGTTTGCTTTGGAGCCTGATTTATTTGGTCTCTGTTATTTATAACCCAGCAGAGATTTTATGGTTTTTTTTGTATTTCCCCCCCTTTCTCGGCGTGGAAGGTGAATTATAAAGCTGCAAAACACCAATGCCAAAATTATTAAGGCGAAAAAAAAAAAGGGAAAAAAAATCTTTTCCCCACTATATAATTATTTCCAGCCTGGGACAGAGTTAAAATTATTTTAAAGGGAAAAAAAATAGCAAAAGAGGCTATTAAAGAGCTAAATAACAGGCTGGGATGTTTTGCTTTGGGGTTATTTTGAAGGACAGAAGAGGATTTATTTACGGGGCTGAATTTCTGCATAAATCCACAGCGAGGGGCAGATCTGGGGGGGAAAGGGAGAGTTTTGGTCCTGGGAAGTATGGGAAGGGCAGGGGTTGCTGTGGAGGAGGGGGTCTGGGGCTCTGATTCTGTATGTGCTTGTGGTCCAAGACCTGTGTCTGATGGGGTTCCTGGTCTCATGTGCACATAACAGTCCTGGTACCCCACCCATGGGTGGTCTTGGTCCCACATCTGCTGGGGGTTCTGGATGTGTCCCCATGGGTGGTCCTGGTCCAGTATCCACTGGGGATTCTGACTCTGCACCCATGGGTGGTCCTGGTCCCACAGCTGCTGGGGGTTCCCAACTCTGCACCCATGGGTGGTCCTGGTCCCACATCTGCTGGAGGTTCTGGACCTGCACCCATGGGTGGTCCTGGTCCCACAGATGCTGGGGATCCTGGCTTTGCACCCATGGGTAGTCCTGAATCTGCACCCATGGGTGGTTCCAGTTCAGCATCTTATGTGGATCCCAACTCTGCACCCATTGGTGGTCCTGGCCCCGTATCTACCCACAGTCCTGGCCCTGCACCCATGGGTGGTCTCAGCCTCACATCTGCAGGGGTGGTCCATGCCCTGTACCCACTCACAGTCCTGACCCTGCATCCCTTGGTGGTTCCAGCCCAGCATCTCCAGGGGGTTCCAGCCCTTCAACCACTGGTGGTTCCAGCCCAACATCTCCTGGGAGTCCCAGCCCTTCAACCAGTGGTGGTTCCAGCCCAACATCTTCTGGGAGTCCCAGCCCTTCAACCAGTGGTAGTCTTGGTCCCACAACTCCCCATGGCCCTATTCCCATCCCCAGATGGTTCCAACCCCCACCCCAGGTGGTCCCGGTCCCATCCCTGCTGGCTCCAGCCCACACTCCCGGTGGCCCCATCCCCATCCCTACCTCGATGTCGGGAATGTTCTCCACCAGCTGCCGGGCGATGTCCTTGCAGCCGCCCTCCAGGGCGTCCGGGGGCATCTCCCCGTCCGAGTACCAGTCGCGGTTGGCAGAGTGGGCGTAGGCGGCGCTGGGCGTCGCGTGGGTCACGCGCGTGGTGGTGACGATCCCCACGGCCTTCCCTGCACCCCGAGCCCAGGGGACGACGGTGAGAACAGCCCCAAAGCTGCCGCTTCCCCTGCCCCCCGAGTGCCCCCCGAGTGCCCCCCGGCCCCTCACCTGCGTCCTTGGCCCAGCGGAGGATGGAGGTCACCTCCTGGCCCTTGGTGGTGTTGCAGCGGTCGCGGGTGACGCCGGCGCTGACCCCCAGGGTGCCCTCGTTGGCTTTGACACCGCACAGGTAGGCAGTGGCCGTGCCAGCGCTGTCGGGCACCTGGGCATTGGTGTTGTAGGTCTGGAGGGGTGGGAGATGGAAAAACCACAACTGTTATCACCACCATCGTTATCACCAGCGTTGTCACCACCACATCCCCACCCATCATCATTATCCCCACCCTGGAGCTCCCCTCCCTGGGCTGTTTTGCCTGCATGGGCCCCCATCCCACCTGTGCCCCCCCTCTTTTGCCCCTCAGCCCCTGTTTTGCCCCTCAGCATGGTGGCACAGCCCCCCCCCCCGCATTTTGCTACTTTTGGCCTTCTTTCAGCCCGTTTTTTGGCAGGGAGAGCGAAGCCCCTGCCACAGGCACCCTCAGGGGGCGAACAGGGACGGCCACGACTTCCAATTTAGTTATAAAACCCAGTGTTTTGTTCAGCAAAACGACCCCAGGCGAAGCAGGGGGGGGTCCCGTGGTGTCCCGCAGCCACCGGGCTCCTTCTGCCCCCCCTCTCTGTTCCCATGGCCAGCCCTGGCACAGCCAGTGGGCACCGGACCAGCTCCCTGCGCCCGCCCCTGACCTAATTTCAGCTCGGTCGATGCCGCCCGCCCGTGACCTTGCGGTGGGTGCCGGGTCCCCGCGGGCGCCCCGGGGGGCTCACCTTGGCCAGGGCCACGTAGGGGAACTTCTCCATCTCCAGCAGGCTCTCCTCGCCCTGCCCGTGCTGCAGCTGCCCCTTGAGGATGCGGGCGGCCGTGACCGTGGAGACGCCCATGCCTGGGGGACACGGGGCAGGGACAGCTGAGCACGGGCAGCTCGGCACACGGGCCACGGTGACACCGGGCAGCACCAGACCCGTTCACACCAACCCCGTCTGTCCCAGTCCACTGCAAATCCATCTTACTGCAAGCCCAGTTTACCCCAGCACTCCGTTTTCTGTCAGCCCAGTTTATTGCAGCACCCAGTTTATCCCAGCACCCAGCTTATTGCAAATCCAGTTTATTGCAGCACTCGGTTTTCTGCAAGCCCAGTTTATTGTGCACCCAGTTTGCCACAGAACCCAGTTTATTGAAGCACCTAGTTTTCTGCAAACCCAGTTTATTGCAGCACCCAATGGTTTGCAAGCCCAGTTTATCGTGCGCCCAGTTTACACCAGCCCCTGGTTTTCTGCAAGCACAATATTTATTGAGCCTCAATTTTATCCCAGCACCCAGTTTTCTGCAAGCCCAGCTTACTGTGCAACCAGTTTATCCCAGTGCACAGTCTATTGAAGCACCCAATTTTCTGCAAGCCCAGTTTATTGTGCATCCAGTTTATCCCAGCACCCAGTTTATCCCAGCATCCAGTTTTATTGCAAACCCAGTTTATTGCAGAACTCAACTTATTGCAGCACCCAACTTTTTGCAAATCCAATTCATCCCAGCACAGTTTATCCCAGAACCCAGTTTCTCCCAGCACTCAATTTTTTGCAAACCTCATCTATTCCAGCACACAGTTTATTGCAATCCCAGTTTACCCCAGCACTCAATTTTTTGCAGTCCCAGTTTATCCCAGTACCCAGTCCATTGCAGTACCAAAATTCCTGCAAATCCAGTTTATCCAGCACCCAGTTTTTTTGCAAACCCATTAATCCCAGCACCCAGTTTATCGCAATCCTAGTTCATTGCAGCACCCAGTTTATCCCAGGATCCAACTTATTGCAACCCAGTTTATCCCAGGATCCAACTTATTGCAACCCAGTTTACCCCAGGATCCAATTTATTGCAACCCAGTTTACCCCAGCACCCAATTTCACTGCAAACCCAATTTATTGCAGCACCCAACTTACTGTAAATCCAGTTCATCCCAGCACCCAACTTAGCGCAAACCAAATTTACTGCAGCACCCAGATTTGGGTTTGCAAATCCAGTTTACCCCAGCACCCAGATTATTGCAAATCCAAGTTACCATAGCACCCATTTTTTTGCAAATCCAGTTCATTCCAGCACCCAGTTTATCCCAGCCTCCAGCTTCTTGCAAACTCAATTTATCGCAGCACCCAACTTCTTGCAAACTCAGTTCTATCCCAGCACATACCTTACTGCAAACCCAGTTTTATCCCAGCACCCAACTTCTTGCAAACCCAGTTTTATCCCAGCACCCACCTGCTTACAAACCCAGTTTACCTCAGCACACACACCTTACTGCAAACCCAGTTTATCCCAGCACATACCTTACTGCAAACCCAGTTTACCCCAGCACATACCTTACTGCAAACCCAGTTACCCTAGCAAAACCTTACTGCAAACCCAATTTATCCCAGCACCCACCTGCTTACAAACCCAGTTTATCCCAGCACCCACCCTACTGCAAACCCAGTTTACCCCAGCACATACCTTGCTGCAAACCCAGTTTATCCCAGCACCCACCTGCTTAAAAACTCATTTTACCCCAGCACCCAACTTCTTACAAACCCACTTTACCCCAGCAAAACCTTACTGCAAACCCAGTTTACCCCAGCACCCACCTCACCTCAGCACCCCCTTTTCCACGACACCCAACATATCCCACACCCAGTTCACCACAGCCCCCACTTTACTGCACCCAGTTCATGGCACCCCTGTCCCCCCCAGCCCAGGGTGGGTGCCCCCATCTCACCATCCCCCAGGAAGAGGATGAGGTTCTTGGCCACGTTCTGGTTGAGGCGCTGCAGCCTCAGCGCGTTCCGCAGGGTCTCCTGCGCCTGCCGCCGCCAGTACTCGGGGTCCTTCTCCCTCTCTGTGGGGAACCAGGACCCATAGCACCCAACAGCACCCGCTGCCGGGGTGCCGCCCCCCAAACGTCACCTACCGGGGACCAGTGATGCCGAGCAGAGCTGGGCGAGGAGGAGGAGAAGAGCCTTCATCGTGCGGTGCTGAGCGGGTGCTGCACAGAGAGAGCTGCGGGTGGCACCCGCTCGTGCCTCAGTTTCCCCACCGAGACCTTCGCCCCGGGTCAGCCAAGCGGGGACAGAAGGAAACGCCCCTTCCCTGCGCAGTCACCGATGTGACCCCCTGGGGACACGCCGGCTTCATGGGACGTCACCTCACTGTCACCGACCCGGGCTGGGGGACGGTGACACGGCCCCCCCATGGCACAGCGGGGTCCCCGCTACGTGGCCAATGTCCCCACCATGGCTGAGTCCCCATTGTATGTTGGGGTCCCCACCACATGGCCATGTCCCCATCCCATGTGTCCCCATCCCATGTCCGTGTCACTGCTGCACGTCCGCATCCCCATGGTACACCCCTGTCCCCATGGCGTGTCCCGTCCCCTGTGTGTGCCCGTGTCCCCAGTGCACCTCCATGTTCCCTTCACACACCCCTGTCCCCGTCCCCGGCCTGTGCCCCCATCACATCCCCACCCCCGTTGCACACTTGTGTTCCTGTTGCACACACATGTCCCATCACACACCCATGTCCTTGCTGCATGTCCGCGTCCCCATCCCGTGTCCGTGTCCCCACCAAATGCCCGTGGCCCCATCGCACACCCACGTCCCTGTCGCACACCCGTGTCCCCATCCTGTCCATGTCCCCATCAGAGCCCCACGGCACCCCCGTGTCCCTGTTGCACATCCACGTCCCCATCACACCCCGTGTCCCCATGGCACCTCCGCCTCCCATCACCCCCCGCATCCCCATCGCACCTCCCCTCCGCTGCTCCCCCCGCTCCCCGGGGACCCCCCGCTCCCCCGGGGTGGCAGCGGTGGCCCGGAGGGTCCTTACCGGAGAGGGGAGGGGGTCACACACGTACCCGCACAAACTTGGGTCCCGACACCCACGTCCCTCTGGGCGGCGTGAGGAGGCCGGGCCGGGGGGACCGCGGGCCCTTAAATCCCCCCGCACCCGGCCTTCGCCTCCTCCTCCTCCTCCCCTTCCTCCACCCTCCCCCCGCTGCCAGCAAGGGGCGGGCGGGGGGGGGGGGTGACAAAAGGCCACAAACTGGGCTTACTGGTGCCCTCTGCCGGGTTATACTGGGAGGACTGGGAGGACTGGGGAGCAGCAAGCCTGGCTGTGGGAGTTGGGCAACCCTCCCCCGCCACCCCGGGAAACTGGGGTGAATTGTGGTGCCCCCCTGGGGGGTAGATGTGTGTTTTGCCGGATTTTGCATTATTTTCACCCAAGCCGTGCCAGCGACACCAGCGAGGGGCTGTGCTGGAGGTGATGGTCCCCCTGCCTCAGTTTCCCCACGCGGGCTCCTGCTGAGGCCCACAAATGATCCCTGCTGCGACCCCGCGGCGTTACTGTAGGTCCTACAGTAAACACGTGGTGACAATGGCGGGGGGGTGTGGTATTGACCCCCTTCCCTGGCTCAGTTTCCCCATCGCGGGGGTCCGGGGGGCCCCGTGCCCCGCGGGGCCGTGGGTGGCCTCCCAGAAGGTGGCGGTCTCGGCCCAAAAATCCGCTCCCCGAGAGTGTCAGGGTGCGACCAAGAGCGCCCCAACGCTGCCCCGGCACCACGGGATGGGCACATCCCCCTACGGACCCCCCAGATCCCTCCGGAACCCCTAAATCCCTCCAGCACCCCCTTCTTCCACCCCTCATCCTCCCTTCACCCCTTTCAAGCCCCCCCCAGCGCTTCCCCAGCCCAGCAAAGCCATTTGGGTGTGATGAGCGTGTCAGTGCTCAGTTTGTCGGTGCGGTGCGAGCGGGGGCGGGGGTTGTGGTGGCACCGCGTGTCCCCATGCCTGTCCCGCTCCTGTCACCGCGGCAGCGCAGCCGTGGGTTGCGTGCGGGTGCGGGCAGCACCCCCTGCGCCCTGGCACACTCACACCCCCACCAGTGCTCGGCTGCACGCGTGCCCCTCGCACACGCGGTTCGCGACACCGTTTGTTTGCACACCCGCACACTCGTGTCCGTGCACGACCGGCGCTTGCACGAGCACACCGTGCTCGCAGGAGCGGGCGCTCACCCCACAGCCCCAGCCCCACGTGCTTTTCCCCTTGCCCACGCGCGCACCGACGGGATCGCGCCTTGCGCTCCCCGCGTCCCCCCGCGGCCGGGACAGCCGGGGGTCTCTCGGGGGGACGCTCCCGGGGAACACGCGGGGCTCCCCCCAAACGGGGTTCGGGCCCCCTCCCGAAAGAGTTAAGGGAGGCGCGCGGGAAGCCCGTCCCTCCGCGGCCCCATTGGTTTCCCATCCCAGGTACATCCCCTGCTCGCTCGTCCCCCCCCCTCGCTAGGCCGCGGCGGCAGCTCGGGCTGGGCCGGGCTCAGCGCCCCAGCGGGGCCGGGCCGGCGGAGCGGGGGCACAGCCATGGTGAGTGGGGGGCCCGGCGGCACCCCCAGCCCCGAGGGGGGGGCTGGCTGGGGGGTCCTTGGCCGGAGCGGGGCGCGGGGCGAGGCTTCTCCCGTGGGATGCTCGTTGTAACCTCGTGGGGCTCAACCCCCCCCCCCATTGCATCCCAATGGACGCCCCGGCACCCCCATGGGACCGCCTTTGCACCCCCGAGGGGCCCCCCCGAGGGACCCCCATAGCAGCCCTGAGGGATCGCTCATAGCACGCTAAGGGACCCCCACTGCATCCCGAGGAACCCCCACTGCACCCCTGGGTGCCCCCCCAGGCCCCCCCAGCCGCCTTTGCTTTGTAGCCAGTGGGTTCCCTGGGGTGGCGATCCCAAACCAGATGACCCCCTTAACCCCCCCCGGACCCCCCAACCCACCTCTTGACCCAGTCCCGCGGGGATTTGCACCCCGTTTCCCTCTGCAAAGGGGGGGGGGGGTATGGGAGGACAGCCCCCCCCCCGCCAGCAGCACCCACTTTTGTGGGGGGCTGTTTGCGAACCCCCCCAAACTGGGCTGTTCCCCCTCCCCCCTTATTTTTTTTTAAACTTTAACCCTTTTATTGCTCCTTTTTAAGCTTTTTTAAATTATTATTATTTATTAATTCATCTGCAGCCAGGGCTCCCTGCAAAACCGGGGAGCCCCCCAGCCCCCTTCCCAGCACCCCTAATTACCGCCGGCACCCCTGATTACCGCCAGGGGTTGCTAATTACCGCCGGGCATCCTAATGAACAGGCTGAGCCTCGGTGGGCGCTGCGGAGGTGCGAGGGGCACCCAGGGATGCTGGGCGGGGGGGTTTAGGGGTGCGGGAGTGATTTGGGGGGCCCGGGGGAGGGACTGGGGGGGCCGGAGGGGCCGGGGGAGGTGAAGGACTCGCGATCGCGGCGGCGGCGGCGGCTCCGAAATGGCGCCGGGCGGGGGTGGGGAGCGGGCGGCGGAGCTCGGGGTGCCCCCGAGGGGGGGTGAGGGGCTCCCCGGGGCCGGGGCGACCTGGGTGCCCCCCCAAACCCCCCTCGGTGCCTGCGGGCTCGGAGCACGTGGGGCTTATTGTTTATAAGGCGAAGGAGGGGTTTGGGGGAAAACCAGGCGATTTAAGGTAATGCCGAGACTTTTATGAGTTGTAAAGAGAGTGGAAATGGCTCGGGTGGGGGGTTTAAAGTGTGGGTGCCTCCTCCCCGCCCTGTTGGAGCCGGGGAAATGCGTTTTTATTCGGATTGAAGCAAACAACAGAGCTGGGGGAGGGGGGGATGTCACAAAAATACATCCGAAACCGCCGCTTTTTGTCCCTGCTTCAGGAGCAGGGCGGGGGGGGGAGCACCCATGGGTGCTGCTATGCCCCCAAAATGTGGGGTGCGGGTGCTAAAACTACCTCCCGGACCCAATCTCCCCCAAATTAAGGATGCTGGGTGTTGATCCCGATGCCCCCCGGGGTGTTCCGGGGCTGGGGGGTTCAGCCTCAGATTCTCTGATGGCTGACAGAGGGTTGAGCCACCACATCCCTTGCAAGAGGGGAAAAAAAAAAGGGTTTTTTTGTCTTTTTCCTGCTGTTTTGTGGCTGGGGTAGGCGGGGGGGGGGGTGTCGTTGAAAAAAAAAAAATCGCGTTTCCTCAGGAAATGGAGTGAAAGCTGGGATTCCAGGAATTTGGTGTTGCCGAGCCATAGGGGCTTCATGGATCCCCCCAGTGCGAGCGGGGATTTGTGCCCGGAGCTGCCAATTTCAGCCATGTGCGAAGTGCAAAAACAGGTGGAAAAAAGTGAAAGGGGACTGAAAAAAAATAGGCTCTAAACGCAGATTTGCCCCGCGATAAAATCTTGCAGTTGAGGCTGTTTCCCCGCGCGGTTCACAGGCTCCAGGCGGGCGCCCAGGGGAGATTTTGGGGCTGGAAACGGAGATTTTGGGACTACCAAGGAGGGAAAACGCTTTGCTCTTTTAACCATTTTTCTTCCCCAGGTGGGTAGTGTGGTTAATTAAGCTGAGGCTGGGATTTGGGATCTGGGGAGGGAATGGGATCCAAGGAGAGGATGGAATTCGTGATTAACTCTGCAAAGGGAGGTTTGGGAATGCTGCTGTTGGAAACGGGGCTGAGAACCGGCACTTTCATTGCATCTCCTTCTGCCAGGGGAGCCCGAGGCACGGCTGTGCTGGGTTGGGATCATCTCATCCTTTGGGATTGATGGCAGCGGGATGGGGACATCCAGAGGGGTGCAAACCCCCACCCTGCACTGCTCGGGGGCGAAGGGACATGACTGGCACCGCTTGGCCCATCAGTGGTGGGGTCAGGGTGGATTTTGGGGTGCTCAGCCCCTTGTGGCAGGGCCAGGGTGGATTTTGGGGTGCCCAGCCCCTCAGTAGTGGGCAGAGGGTTGTTTTCTCCATCGGGAGGCAGTCCAGCTGGGTGGCAGGGCTGTGCCAGGGGGAAGGAAACGGCGGCAGCACGATAAGGGCCGGCTGCCAACCCTCGAGGTTTTCCTTGTTTTTCTGCTGGGGGATGAGATAAGAGCCGGGCACTGGCACAAGGTAATGCCCGGGGGCACGGCGCCGGGAGGGAGCCCGTCTGCAGCTGAAATCCAGGGAGGTGTCGCTTTCGGGTGCTCGCTGGGACCTGGCCGGGTGTTCCACGGTACACAGGGTTCACAGACAGGGTGTGGAGCAGGAGCGAGCTGGTAGTTTCGGGGTGAAAAGCCATTTTCCCTGCTCCCGGCCTTCCCCAGGTCCCCGGCACACCGGGGTTCCCTGGCAGGGGGCTGGGGGAGATCCCTCTGCCTGTTGAGGGGTGGAGGTGGATCCAGCTTTACTCCAGGCTGAAGGGGAGGTTGCACAACCCAGCCCCGGGGGAGAGCAAGGCGGGTTCGGGCTTTACTCAGCTTTTGGCTCCAACCCTCTTTGCTTTCCATAACCTTCCTCTGGCGTCTGTGTAGTGCTTTACTGCCCCGGAGCCATTCGGGATTTAGCTCCCCGGAGGAGGAGGTGGCTCTAGAGGGTGTGTAAACCTTCCTCATCCTTCTCTTCTTCCTCGACCCCGAGTCTCTGAGTGCTCCGTTTGCCAATCTCCCTGTGCAGATGTCGACCTACAAGCGGGCGACGCTGGACGACGAAGACCCCCTGGACTCCCTTGGTGACGGCGATGGATACCCCAACGGCTTCCAGGTAGGGCTTTGTGTGTCTTTTAGGGCGGGGAAAAAAGTGGGATTTTAGGTCCTGGCAAGCGGCAGAAGGGGTGCAGAAGGGTTTTCTACCTGGGACCTGTCTCCACGGGGTAAAGTCTGGTGTGGGCAGAGTCCTCTTGGCTCCTGCTGCCGCTGCCCTTTGCTCCTGGCACGGGGAGCCAGCAGGGCCATATCCCAGTTTTTCAACTCCTAGTTTTTCAACTCCCAGTTTTTCTGCCAGCCAAGCCCCTTCTCAGAGTGTGGCTGGGGTGAGCAATTATCGTGGCACTGGCAGTTTTGTCCTGGCACAAAAGGGGATTAGCTTAATTCCTCCCCAGGCAGCAGGAAAGCGGCTTAAAGAGGGCCAAGGGTGGCAAGAAAACCCCCTCCAGCTGCCAATGTGGGAAGGTTCGGGTCCGGAGCGATGTTCTCGGTGCTGGCCCTGCTCCCAGCCCCAGCACTTTCTAGAATGGTGGTTTCTGCCCCAAATGTGTTTTTACTTCTCCCGGCGGGGCCGTCTCCGCTCGCCGGCGCATTGGGATGTTTCCTGGGGATGTTTTTCGGCTGAGTGGGAGTATCCTGTCAAGGCACTTCCCGACGCAGCCCCCACCCCGTCCCAGTGCCGGCAGTGGGGACAGGGACACCCGGGGGGTTACGCCGTGCTCGAGGAGGGGTTCGGGGTGGCACAGGGCAGCAGGTGAACCCGCCGAAGCGCTCGTCCCGCTCCCTTTCCTGCCATTGTGCCGCCCTTCCTGCCCGGTTTCTGGAAGGCAGCTGCTGCCTTTCCCAGCCCGATCCCTTGCCGGGGGCCGAATGAGTGCCGTGGGGTTGCAGGAAGCACGATGGGGGCTGTGTCGGTGGGTTTCTGCACCGGCGGGGAGACGACGCTGCTGTTCCCGCAGGTGAACTTCCGCGGCTCGCGGGGCGGCCGCGGCTGCTGGGCCGAGCGGACACGCGCCGAGAGGCAGCTGCTGGTGCTGGTGGGGGTGCTGGCAGTGGTGCTGGTGGCATGTCTGCTGGGACTCATCTTCCAGTACAGAGCCAGTAAGTCCTCATGCTGCGCAGGGATCCTGCCCCTGTCGGCAGGGCGGGTGGCTGGGGGCGTTCCCAGGATGGGATCTCTGGAGCAGGGTGGGATGGTCACCTGCGTGCCAAGACCCCGGTCTTGGGAACCAGGCAGGATGTTCAGGTGTGGGGTGGGATCCTCGGGCTCAAGACTGAATGGTCACCTGCATCCCTTGCCCCAGAGGAGATGCTCAGATGCAGGATAGGGTGCTCCCTTTATCCTGGATCTTGATACTTGAGTGCAGGATGGAATATTTGCCCTCATCCTTCACCCCAGGGTGGATGCTTGGGCACTGGGTGGGATCTTTGGGCATAGGATGAGATGCTTGCCCACATCCCTTGCCCTGGAATGGGATTATCAGGTAGGGTGCTCGGGCATGGACTGGGATGCTGGTCTATATTGCTTGGCCTGGAGCAGGATGTTAAGGTAGAAGGCGGGATGCTCGGGCACCAGGTGGGATATGTGCCCACATCCTTCAGCATGGGGCAGGATGCTCCGTGGGGCAGCTCATGGCGCTGTGGTGGAGGAGCTGAACCCCTCCCTGCTGCCCCCAGGGCCACCCGCCGTGTGCCTGTCGGAGTCCTGCATCTCCGTCACCAGCTCCATCCTCAGCTCGCTGGACCGGGCAGTGAATCCCTGCGAGGACTTTTTCAGCTACGCCTGCGGGGGCTGGATCAAGGCCAACCCCCTCCCCGATGGCCACTCGCGCTGGGGCACCTTCAACAACCTCTGGGAGCACAACCAGGCCATCATGAAGCACCTGCTGGGTGAGTGCAGGGGAGCAATGGGACCCTGTTAGGTCCCGGGGAGGCCAAAAACATGTCCGTGGGGATATGGGGTTGGAATTGAACTCCAGCGTCAAACCAATCCGTGACACACGTGTTGCGAGGACATTGGGAAAAAGGCTGTGTTTGCTCTCCTGGATGCTCCTGGGATTTTTGACTGTGGTGTTGCTGCTCTTTGGTGCCGAGTAGGGAAAAGGTTCCTGGCCTCTGCTCTGCAGGCCTCACAGCAGCATTCCCAGGAGCTCTGAAATTCAGGATTTGCACTCCAGAGCCTGCAATATCACCCAAAGGATATGGGGTTTTCCTGCTCCTATACCTTCCAGCCTTTGTGAGCAGTCTTTTTGGAGGTCTGGCTGCCAATACGGCCATTTTTTGGGGGGCCAAAGCTCCCCCAGCAAAGGGAGGATCCTGGGTTCAGCCTCTGCGTGCGAACAGCGAAGCAGAGCCGCTTATCCCAGCAACCGGCAGGGACGGTTTGTTCAGGCTTTGAGCAAACAACTGGCTCCTTATCAGCACTTTCCACTGCGCCAGGGCTGATTATCTGGAAAGAGAAGGTTTGGGAAGAGTGTTGTCTTTTGGGAGAAGGGGGGCGGCGCGGGAACGGCTTCGTCCCTGGCTCTTCCTGCAGAAATCTGGCGCTGGTTTTACCAGGAGAAGGGACTGGGCCTCCAGCCAAGTGGTCGCGTTCGGCATTTCCTTGAATTCCTTGGAGCCGAGGGACCTTTAGTTAATAAAACCACACAGCTGGGAAGCCAAAGGTGCAAGCTGTGTCATCAGGAAAATAAATAAAAAACCTAAAAAAACCTCTCAGGGGAGGCAGTATTTTAGCAGAGGGGGAGATAAAAGGTTGGTTTTGGAGGCAGAGAAGAATAATGGGTTTATTGTTCCTTTTTACAGGAGTAAATAATAAAGGGCTGGGGGGCAGCAGCACAGAGGCAAGGGCAGCACAGGGGGCTGGATGATGCTGGGAATATCAGAGCTGCTGGAAAAATGCTTTTTGTTTTTTCTTTCTTTATCTTTCGTTCCCAAAGAGCTGGAGCAGTCGCTGCGGGTGGGAAAGGAGAGGGGGGCAGGAGGCCAGGAAGGGCTGGGGCCCTGGGATGCTCTCAGGGGCACAGAGGGGCCTATTGGGGCAATCCTTGGCGCCGGTTTGGAGCCTGGCTTTGCTCAAAATGGGGCTGAATATTCCCATGGTGCAAGGGAGGGGGTGCTCCAGTGTAATCAGCAGCCCCCATGTGTGTTGGATGCCCATCCCTGGGGACCTCCTGTGATTCCCCCTGGGGACCGTCCACAGAAAACACCACGGCCAACGTGTCGAGCGAGGCGGAGCGCAAGGCACAGCGCTATTACCAGGCCTGCATGAACGAGAGCAAGATTGAGGAGCTGCGTGCCACCCCGCTCGTGGAGCTCATCCAAAAGGTCCGTCCTGCTCCTCGTGGAAAAGCCATCTTCTGTCTGCAGAATGGGGGGAGATCAAATAAGGGCAATTCCAGCACCCTCCAGACTCCATTCCCGGTGCTTCCTGGGGAACAGCAAGCCCCAGGGCAGGCAGGCCAAGAGAGATTTATTAGGGATTTATAATCTTATAACTTATCAGATTTATAATCCTATAATGGGGCTTTTTAGCTCCCTTGCAAGATGTTTCCCCCAGGATGGGCATTGGGGATATCGAAGGAATTCCAGGTGGTTGTTCCTTACCCAAAAGCTGGTTGCTGTCTGTCCCCAGCTGGGTGGCTGGAACATCACAGGAACCTGGGCCGGTGGCAACTTCAACGAGACGCTGCGGGAGGTGACGGCGCATTACCGCACCTCGCCCTTCTTCTCCGTCTACGTCAGCGCCGACTCCAAGAACTCCAACAGCAACGTCATCCAGGTGGATCAGTCGGGGCTGGGCCTGCCGTCGCGGGATTACTACCTGAACAAGACAGAGAATGAGAAGGTGGAGGTGTCGGGGGGATGTGGGTTGGCTGGGGAGGTGCTGTGGGTGGGTGGGTGGGTGGGTGGCACCTGCCCCGCTGATCCCACCCCATGCTGATCCCACCCCATGCTGATCCCACCCCATGCTGATCCCACCTGGCGCTGATCCCACCCAGGTGCTCGCCGGGTACCTGAACTACATGGTGCAGCTGGGGATGTTCCTGGGAGGCACCGATGAGGAGTCGACACGCCAGCAGATGCAGCAGATCCTGGACTTTGAGACAGCATTGGCCAACATCACCATCCCCCAGGAGAAGCACCGGGACGAGGAGCTCATCTACCATAAAATGACAGCTGGAGACCTAAAGGTAGAGATAGAGCTGGCAAGGCTCTCCGTTCTGCCATGGTTTGGGAAGTGGGATGCATGGGTGGAGGTGACACAGCTCCTCTGGGAAGCCTGATGCCAGGCAGCACCGCCTGGGAGGCTCTTGTGCAACAGCTTGGCCCATGTCCTCCTTGGGGAAATCCCACCCAGCCTCTGGACCACCCCCGGGGCCGGCGGCCGTCCCGCTGCGGCGCTTACGCCCGGCCGGCCCTGCTGCGCCTGGATGTCAGCCCAGTCACCTCCCCACGGCCCCACAGGGGTTGTGTCAACAGTTCTGACACCCGCCCCACTTTCTTTTCCTTTGTGGGAGGAAATTGTTTACTACCCTCCGACCTTTCGAGGATGCTGCTGGCATGGGAACTGGCCTCTGCAAAATCAGCTGGGTCCATCAAATGGGGACTGATGCAGCCGATTCCAGCTTGGGAAGGAGCTGCCACCCCGCTCGATGGTGTTTGGGTCTGTAGCAGCACTGTGGCTTTTGCAGGAGCTGGCACCGGCCGTGGACTGGATGCCTTTCCTCTCCACGGTCTTCTACCCCGTGGAGCTCAATGAGTCGGAGCCCGTCGTGGTCTACGCCAAGGAGTACCTGGAGCAGGTGTCTGACCTCATCCTGGCCACAGATAAGTGGTGAGAGCCCCCCGCCCGCACAGAGGGTGCCCAGGGTGGGCAGGCACGTCTCGCTGCACACTCACCACCTCTCGCCACAGTCTCCTCAACAACTATATGATCTGGAACCTGGTGCGGAAAACCAGCCCCTTCCTTGACCAGCGCTTCCAAGATGCCGAGGAAAAATTCATGGAAGTGATGTATGGGACGAAAAAGGTGAGGGTGGAGCCCCTAACAGCCCTGATTCACCATTAAAATGGTGATGGGTTTTTATGGCAAGCCCCCTTTCGTGTGGCACCCAGACAGTAGAGATGTGGGGTGGGTTTTGGGGTGGCAGGGGATGGATGGAGACCTCCTCTCCTGGTGGGGTACGAGGGTGGGAAGGAGCGGGGCTTCGGCCCCTGAGTGACTGACCACCTCTTGTCCCACGCAGACCTGTCTCCCACGCTGGAAGTTTTGCATCAGTGACACGGACAACAACCTGGGCTTCGCCCTGGGGGCCATGTTCGTCAAGGCCACCTTTGCTGAGGACAGCAAGCAGGTGGTACGTCCCCGAGCCGGCAGCGTGCGAGTCCCAGTGCTGGGGAAACCACCGCAGTGGTGGAGCCGTCCAGGCAGCCCATGTTTGTCTCCATGTGCCGGGTTTTTCACTGGCCCAGATGCTGTGTTGGCGGCCCAGCCTCTTCCTGCCCACTCGTGTGGAGGTCCTTGACCTCTCCGGAGTGGGAAGCTGGCTCTCCGGCCCGACGCTGTGCTGCCTTGTTTTGTCTAGGCAGAGGAAATGATTGCAGAGATTAAAACCGCCTTCGAGGAAAGCCTGGAGACCCTGCAGTGGATGGACGAAGAGACGAGGAAATCGGCCAAAGAGAAGGTGAGGTGCTGGCAGCAGTGCTGGGTGGGGGTGAGGATGGAGGGAGGTGGAGCTGGGTGAGCCTGTCCCTCCACCCCCGGCGCTAAAAGCACTCTGGTCCTTGTCACTCCCCAGGCAGATGCCATCTACAACATGATTGGCTACCCCAAGTTCATCATGGACCCCAAGGAGCTGGATAAAGTCTTTAATGACGTGAGTTGGTTGGGTATGTCCCCTGGGTCTTCTATAGGATGTACAGGACATGCTCATCACCGTGGCCTCTGGGCAGCCTTGAACCCCAGGTTTCCTCCAGAAGGGTCTCACTGATGTCCTTGGCCCTTCTCTGGGGACTTCCCAGAGAGCTGTGGGCCGGTCCTGGGGTGGGCTGGGACTCTCAGGATCCCTGCCTAGGAAAAGGAGGGGTCATTTTCCGTAACAGTGATTCATTGCCCTCCAGAGACTCTGCAGATGTTGGAGAGGAGGAGAAACAAGAGCAGCCGTAACTCAGGCGGCTCCGGAGGCTCAGACGTGACCGTGGAGGGAGGAGCGGGGCTGGGCAATCCCCACACACCACTCACGCCTTGTTCTTTTGCAGTACGAGGCCGTGTCTGACCTCTACTTCGAGAACGTCATGCAGTTTTACAACTTCTCGGCCAGGGTCACGGCCGACCAGCTCCGGAAGCCACCGAACCGGGACCAGTAAGTCCTCTGCTCCACTTCCCTGATGTGCTCAGCGGGGAATATCGGGATATCTGGAGCCACTGGGGTTTGGTGTCCACTAGCTGGTTTTGGGCAGTGAGACTTGGCCCAATGCAGCGTGGTGAGTGGGTGTTGGAGCCATGTTGGTGTCCCTGCAGGTGGAGCATGACACCTCCGACAGTCAATGCGTACTACTCTCCCACCAAGAACGAGATCGTCTTCCCTGCCGGCATCCTCCAGGCCCCCTTTTACACCCGTGCATCCCCCAAGTAAGAGCCCAGGGAAAACACAGAGGGCAGGATTCACAAATTTCCTCCTGTACCCAAATTTCACGGCTGTGGAGAGCAGTGGCTGCTCTCTAAGTCTCTACCCTTCTGCAGGTCCCTGAATTTTGGTGGGATCGGCGTGGTGGTGGGCCATGAGCTGACACATGCCTTTGATGACCAAGGTATGGCCAGGGCCAGGCAGGTGGGCAGCTGGAGGAGTGGCCAGTGTGGTGACGAAGGATCCCGCTGTGTTTTCGGCAGGCCGGGAATACGACAAGGACGGCAACCTGCGTCCCTGGTGGAAGAACTCCTCGGTGGAGGCCTTCAAGCGTCAGACAGCGTGCATGGTGGAGCAGTACAGCAACTACACCGTCAACGGCGAGGCCGTCAATGGCAAGCACACCCTCGGGGAGAACATCGCCGACAACGGGGGCCTCAAGGCCGCCTACCGGGTAGGGCTGCAGCACTGGGGACGTGTGGGGGGGGACATGGCATGGTGGGACCGATGTCCCCTGAGCCCGCTGTTCTCCCTGGCCTACAGGCATATCAAAACTGGCTGAGAAAGAACGGGGATGAGGAAACCCTCCCAACCCTCGGCCTCACCAACCACCAGCTCTTCTTTGTTGGCTTCGCGCAGGTGGGTCATGTGACGGGTGGGGAGGGTGGGCACACAGATTTTTGGGGGTGGTGTCTGCCCAGATGGGGGTGGGAAGGTGTGGTGGCAAAATTGAGGCCTCCGGAGATGTAGTGGATGGTGAACCAGATCGGGGCGGTGCTGGTTACAGAGCGAGACGAAGCTGGCGCTTGAGCCATGTTGGTGCCCGTCATGCGGGTGGGGAGGTCAGATTCGGGCCCCGTGGCGGTTGGGGGGTGTCAGCACTCAGGCCCCTCACCCTCGTTCGCAGGTGTGGTGTTCGGTTCGCACGCCAGAGAGCTCTCACGAGGGGCTCATCACCGACCCCCACAGCCCCTCGCGCTTCCGCGTCATCGGCACCGTCTCCAACTCACGGGAGTTCGCGGAGCACTTCGGCTGCCCCGTGGGCTCCCCCATGAACCCCCCCAAGAAGTGCGAGGTCTGGTGAAGGGCGAGCGCCCCAGCGGGAGCCAGCGGCCGGTTGTTCCATCCTCTGCTGGATTTCCCCTGTCCTGTGAGGGTCAAACCACTTCTCTGCACCAGGGAGAGCCCGGCTCAGCCAGAGCTGCCCCGGTATTGTCCGAGGTTCGGTCCACTGTGAAAACTCCTCATCCCCTCGCTCGTTGGTGAAATGACTTTGGTTTGGGGGGGGTCTCTTCTTTCCCACCACGTCCATGGGCACTACCCTGAACCACCACCCCAGCAAAATCCCTCTTTTTTTGGAGGGTATAAAGGGAACCCCCGGCACGGGCAGGTTTGTCTGCGTGTCTAAGTACAGCCAACGTACCTTCCTCTCTCCAAAGATGCGCACACAAGGATGGGAAATATTTTAAGATATATTTTTTGGGGGGAGGGGAAATATATATATTTTTTTCATGCGTTGTGGAATACACTGGAAGATTTCAGGGAAAATGCATTTAAAAGCCGCCTTTTTAGTAAAAGATTAGTATATTTATTAATTTTTTTTACTTAGTGCAGCTGTAGATGCAGCACCCTGTGGTGACAGTCCCTTGGCCAGGGAAGCTGGGTGGGGCCGTGGATCTAACTTTCCAGCCTTGGATCCTGCTTCTCCAGGAAGGACTGTCCTCAGAGGATGCTTATGGGAAAATTGGGGACAGCAGGCCCAGGGACAGGGCTGGAGGATGCTGCAAGTCACAGAGGCTGTGCCAGGATGCTCCTGGGATTAGCTTTAATTTGGGAGTGCAAAGGGAAAAGTTGACATGCCAAAGATGTCACCAAGGTGGTGACGGTGTGGATGAAGCATCCGGTTCTCCCTCCTGTCCCCTCTGAAGCGAGGCCAGCCAGGATTTCCTGGCCCAAAAGCTTCCCCAGACAAGTGCAGGCAGTTCCTGCCGCTGCTCCGCTCGCCGCCGTGCCTGCACCCTCTGTGCCCGGGAATCTGCAAGCCCCCAAATCACCACAAACCCCAAAACTCCGTCCCTCCAGAGCTGGTTTGGCAGCTGCATGAGATCCAACCGGGATGGGGGTGAGGGGCTGTTCAAGGGATGTTTTTAATACTCATTTTGAGAGGAAAGCACTGACAGGAGCTCAGGTGCTGCGTGTTGTCACCTTCTTGCTCTGGACAGAAAGCACAGAGGGATTTTTAATATTTATATGTAAAGGGAGGGATGGGAGGGGCTGTTTTTTGTAATTATTTTTTCACCCTATGCGTGGGGCTTATTGTAATTGAAATAATAAATACTTTTTACTGGATCTGGAGCTGCTCACGACTTGTTTTTCCGATACCAGGAGCGTTTGCATCCCTTTATCTGCGCTTTTCTCCCTGTCCACACCTCCAAGACTATCCTGTGCTGACAAAACTGAGCCGAGGAGGCTTTTCCCAGCCTACTGCCTCTCTCGGAGGCTAAATCCAGGCCTTAGTGCCCCAAAACCCCACTCTCACTGCGTGTGGCTGTTTGCTTTACCCTTCTATGGCCTGGCCCCACGCAGCTCCCCAGCAGGGAGGTCTTTCCTGGATGCTTTTCCTTCCTCCCAGGCGAGTTTTTGGCCGGCCGGGCTGTGCTGGGATCCAGTGGCACAGGTTGCTCTCCAAGCTCCCTTATTTATAGCTCGGTGATGCTGTGGGATGCTGCCAGCTCCAGAACCCAGGCCAGCATTCCTCCTGAGCGGATGCTCCACGGCTTTGCCAGGCTTGCCCAGAAAATGCAGGGCAGGACCTGGACCGCAGGCTCCCCACGAGCCTCAGCCCGGCACCTGGGAGGGCTGGTGGCCATAAAACAAGCCAAGTGCTGGGTGTTCCTTTGCTGCTGAGCCCTGGGATTCTTATCTGGGGCAAAACCAGGGGGCTGCAGCCCGTTGGCAGCAAACATTTGGGAATAAAGAGTGTTTCTGCTGCTGGGATGAGCAGGGCTGAGCCAGCAGCAGGCCAGGGACACGGGTGTTGTGTAAGTAAGATATTAAAATATCCTCCTGACTGTTTTTATCGTGTTTCCTCACCCAGATAGAGTGGAAATGTAGCAATAGTGGTGACTCTCTGCTCACAGGACTCGGTGTGAGGCCCTCGGTTTCCTGCAGAGCTGGAGCCTGGCCGTGGCTGTTGTTTTCCCTGGGATCTGCCTGGAAATGGCGCAAACCCGCAGAGGGCGGTGGAGCCGAGAAAATCGCTGCCTGCACGTTCCAGTGCTGGGCTGGCAGGAGTCAGCAAGGCTGCCATGTGGTCTGGATGTGGCCCCAGGTGTTTCAAATGTGGTGGAACACCTGCATTCCTAGGGAAAGAGAGGAGCAGCGTGGGTGTACAGCAAAGAGGAATGAAGTGAGGAGAGCGGGGCTGGGGTGAGAGGGTGTTTTCCCAGCTGCCAGCAGCAGAGAAGGGAGCACAGCCCATCGTGGGATGCTGTTAGAAGTGGTTTAACCACCCCAAAGGGAAATATTTTTGGTGCTCTGGGGCTTACTCACGGGGAGGGACCAAGCAGGTCATGTGTTGGGGACAGCCCCAGGATCAAGGCTCCCTGGGAGCCGGCAGTGGGATTTTGCCTCCCTGTGAGGCTGCCGGGTGTAGAGAGAGAGAGAGAGGGGGCAGGAGGTGAATCATCCCGTTCACGTGCAAGGGCCTGGCATGGGCTTGCCTGGTCCTGGGAGGTATTTGATCTATTTTGTGTTCAGCCGTACACTGGAGGGCCAAGACTTTTGCTGAGGGCTGAGCCCGGGCAGGAGGGATGGGGAGAGCTCCAAGCTGAGCCCGGGCAGGAGGGATGGGGAGAGCTCCAAGCTGAGCCCGGGCAGGAGGAGGGATGGGGAGAGCTCCAAGCTGAGCCCGGGCAGGAGGAGGGATGGGGAGAGCTCCAAGCAGGAATCTTTTTTTTTTTTTTTTTTTTTTTTAATTTTGTCAGGAGGGTGTTGGAAGGAAATCAGTGGGGGAAAAGCAGGAGAAGCCCAAAGAGGAAGGCTCTGCTGCACCATGCTGGGTGAAAGCAAGAGCCTGGAGTGGGATGGAGGCCCCAGAATGAGCTGGAAATGGCAGCTCTTCATAGGTTTGGTGGGGCTGAGACAGCCTGCAAGGTTGTGTTCAGCCTCTCACAACCACCTGAACTGCTCTTTCCATTCCCAGTTTGTCCCCTCCAGGTTAGGATCTAACCCTGACACACCACAACAGTGCTGAGGTCACCCACTGGGACCACCAGATTTTAGGGCCAAAAGCTCCCCTGAACAAGCCACACATTCCTGGAGGGAGGAGGACAGGGAGCGGGAGGTGGGGAGCGGGTTTCTAAATCCCAGTTTGGAGCTGCTCATGCCCATCCCTGGGGTGGTTTTCACTCAGAGCCAAGCAGGGACAAGGCTGTGTGTCCTCACTCACTCTCAGGACCACAGTTTTGTGCTTTTATGTTTTCCTCTTCACAAGGATTCCTGCAGGAAAACAGCCATTTTCCAGTGATACCCCAATCCTGTATTGTCCTAAGTTCACCAACAGCTCCAGTGTTCCTACTACACTTTGTGCTGCGAGGTTGTGTCTCTGCTGTGGCAGGTACATGAGGGACTGGTGGCACTGGGAAAGGGACTGGTGGGACTGGGAAAAGGACTGGTGGGACTGGGAAAAGGACTGGTGGTGCTCCAAAACAGGAGCTCAGCACTGCAGACTCCAGCTGCCCACGGTGACACACCAGTTCCCAGGTGCTGATAAAGCTAGCAGGAAAAAGAGAAGGAAAAACGAAATGGAGAGACAGGAGGAAGGGTGTGAATCCAGCTGGCACTCACTCCAGCTCACCAAATCTGCAGGGTTTGTTGGCCAAGTCGTCCTATGCGGGGTAGAAGAGAGACATGTCTGCCTTTTCTGCTCAGGGAAAAATTAAAAAGAAGGGAAAAATATGGTTGTGGGGAGACACTGACTGTGGAAGAGCTTTAAGGCAGAGCTGGGAGCCTGGCTCCTTCACATGACCAGCAGGTTTTTGGAGCTTCAGCTGATAATATGGTGAAAATGCAATTTTCCCCCTTCTAAGCAGGCAAAAAGTGTTCCATCCAAAGATCCTGGAGCTGAGGCTCTTTCACAGCTGTGTTTACAGGCAGCTATTTCTGCAGAACAGAGGGAGCCGGAGGTGCCAATTTGCTTTTGGGATGAATTTCCTTCCGCATGAAGAGCTGTATCCAGAAAGGGGAGGTGGTCGATGGAACAGAACCGGCCCCCCCAGACCACACAGATTTCACAGAATATTCTGGGTTGTGAGGGACCCACAGAGATCATTGAGTCCAGCTTTCAAGCAAATAGCTCATACAGGGACACACAGCTCTACTTGCACCCTCAAAATAATCAGAGTCTTTAAGAGCTGTGGATGGAGAATTGTCCTCCCAGCAGCAGAGGTGGAGATCTATCAGCCCTTGGGCAAATCCTATACAGTGAGAGAAGTTCCTCCTTTGTTATCTCAATTGTTGGGAGTGGAGGAGTACTTGGCCTTTCTTTGAAGTCATTCCTCTGTTCTCCAGTTTTCCTGCTGGGGAATCAGCTGAACTGGCTGAAGGCTGCAGAGAAAAACTAGCTCAGGAAAAAACACCCAGAGCCCCCTCTAAATATCTGTTCCTGGGTTCAGGTGGAAATATTCCCCATTTAGGACTTGTTTACAGGCTGGCAGGGCTTCGATGGGCTTTTTCCCCTCAAAGAAAGCTCATTGTTTCCTATTTTCCCCTGTTTCCCACAGGCAGTGTGAAGTAGGTGTGAGCTCATCTCCTGTCAGGTATTTCCCTTACCCCAGAAGGGAGAACAAAGAGTGGAACAAAGAGCCTAGAAAGGGACACTAAGCAGCACATTAGTCACCTTCCCCTGCCCCACTAATCCCCGCTGGCATTTCACTGAGTGCCTGTACCCTGCAGGTTGCACCTGAGTCAGTAAGAAACTATTCCAGTCCCTGGGCTGATTTTACTGGAGACCAGCCTGGCAGCTCCCAGCTTTCCTTCTTCAATCACACCTTGGAAGACAGGAAAGCCTCTGTCTTCCCTGTAGGACACACAGCAACCCTCGTGTGTCCTAAATCTGACCTGCACAACCCAATAACTCAGAGTTATTGAACTCAGAGTCTGACTCCAAAGGGAAAAGGTACTCAAGACCCTCCTACTATTTTTTGCCCATTGTGCTGAGTTTTGCTCTGGTGAACAACACCCAGTCCAGATTCTCCACTTTGGGATTTGTATTTAAAACTCAAATTTACTTTCCTGCTTACAACAGGACCCTTGTATAGACAGGGATAGATGTGTCTCCTTGGGTGGGTTTTCTTTAGTGCACAAGGCCTTTGTCTCTATTCTCCCAGCTTGCAGATGCAGCACTCTCCAAGTGCCTGAATACACCCCCACGGGAGCTGTTCACTTCAATAAAAGAAGCTTTTCACATTTAAGAGTTTATTTGTGATTGCTCTAAAATATTATCTTCCTCCTAAACTTGCAGCTGCCCAGAAAAAGCAGCCGACAGAATGCAAATAAACTCTGGAAAGCTTTCCTGGAGCAGCACCCCGGGTTGGGTGACTGGGACAGCAACGCCTGCGGGCACAGCAAAGGTGCTGGAAGTGCTTCTCTGGGACGTGCAGTGTGGCAGGAATGGTGGAAGGTGCCAGCGGGCTGGAATGAGCCCTCGGGAGCCAGCGGCAAGGCAGGACAAGTCAGGACAATCCGCTGGAATCTGCTCTGAGGTGCTTTTCCTCTCCCTGAGATGGCACAAACCGCCTTGGCTGCCGCCGGGCTCACGGGTGGCCGTGAGGAGGGTGCTGCAGCCTGGGTGTGAGATGGTGAAGGCAGTGGTGCTGTGGCAGCCCTCGGTGGGGTGATGGCTTGGTGTGACCACGGGGCGAGCTGGACACCTGTCCCCACAAGGGCGGGTCCGGAGGGTCCCCACTGACACAGGTGGGCTCCCTCAGGGGTCCCTCACAGCCACAGTCACCCTCAGGGCTGCTCGCCCTCGTCAGGGGCCGTGGTTCTGCCCCAGAAGCCAGGGCTTGGGGCTTGGGGCTGCAGGGCTGGGAACGGAGCTGGGGGTGATGTTTTTGGGGTCGTCCCTTGTTAGGGCCCACGGGGCGGTGGGTGCTGGAGGTCCCCCCACAGCCAAGATCCTGAACTTCCAAGTCACCCTCACGACGCCTCACGTGGGGCTACGGTGCTGCCCGTTTCAGCCACCCCAGAAGCCGGGAACTGCGGCTGGGGGGTGAGGTTTTGGACAGGGGAAGCCCCTTCCCAGACCCTGTAGTGGGACGGGTGCTGCGGGACTCCCCGGCCTCCTT